GTTGTCGCTCCCGCCTTCGGCCGCGGCGCGGCTCGCCGCCCAAGGGGTTCCCCCAGAGACGCTGCTGCAGCAGCTGCGGGTGCTGATTTCCGAGCAGGCGCGGCGGGACGGCGGCGGCGGCGGCGGCGGGGGCGAGGGCGGGCTGCCTGTTGACCTTCCGGTGCGGTATGTGGAGGGCTGCTTGGTGGCGGACATCGACCCCAGGACGGCGCTGCGCGGGGAGCTGGCGCTGCGGGCGACGCAGGTGGGGTGACAGGCAAAGAGGCGTGCGGGCAGCGGGCCTGGGCGCGGCGCCAGGGGTAACGCGCGCTCGGGGCACGTGTGGATCAACCGATCCGAGCCCCGCCGCGCGGCGTGCTCTCGGGGCTGGCCGCGCCCAAACGCCCCATCACGCTCGGCCCCGCGTCGCGATCTTGACCGGTCAAACGCCGCCGCGGAACTGCGCGGCCCGCAGGACGTCCCGGCCGGCACCCTGCTGGGCCCTTACCGGTCCTATGCGATGGGGGAGGCTGCATATTTGCGGCTGCTGCGGGCGCCGCCGGCGCGGTGGGGGGACGCCTGCGGTCCTTCGACGCGGGCGCACGAGTGGGTGGAGCTGCTGCACAGGTGCGGCGGTGCGCGTGTGTGTGAGTGTGTGTGTGTGTGTGTGTGTATGTGTCTGCACGTGGGTGATTGTGTGCATGTGTGTGCATGTGTGTGTGAGTGCGTGTGTGTGCGTGCATGCGTGCGCGCGTGCGTGCGCGCGCGCGCGCTTCGCGTCGAGTAGAGGACACAGAGAAGCTGCGCGTGCGCGTTGCATGTGTGCACACGCGTTCGCGTGGGTTGGAGCAAGACCGCGCGTGGATGCAGCGGAGCGTGACCGCCGTTTCAGGCGCACACGGGCGTGCCGGCGCCGGGCGCAGCGGGGCGCTGGTGCCGTAATGCGTCCTGGGCTTGTGGTGCGTCGGCCACAGGGTGGTGCCGGTCAAATTGCCCTGCTCCCGCCTGCGCCGCCCCGTTTGCCAGGTATACTCTGGCAATACCAGCGCCGCAAGGCGGCGCCAGCAGCAACGCCAGCAACGGCGGCGGCGGCGGCGGCGGCGGCAGCGGGGGCGGCGCGTCGGGCGGCTCAACGGCTCCAGGCGCGCCCGGCAGCTGCGGGGGCGTGGTGTACTTTTGTTGCCTCAGCTACGGCAACTTGCTGTGCCTGGCAAACGACCCGATCAAGGCGCCGGATGAGGAGGGGTCCGAAGAGTTGGTGATGGCGCCGAACGCCGCGGTCGTGCCGGTGCTGGCGGGTGGCCTGCCGGCGGCGCTGGTGGTCGCAGTGCGCGAGATCGCGGCTGGGGACGAGATCGTCATCGACTACGGCCGCGCGTACTGGCGCGCGTGGCGCATGCTGCGGCGCAATACAGACCTAGCGGCGGCGCGGGGTGGCGCGCGGGCGGGCGGCTGATGCCCATAAAGCGGGTGAACTGATGCCGTAATGCTGGCGGGCGGTGCCGTTGGGCTGACCTGACCCGACCGGCGGACCTCCCCCTGCCCTTATGCAGCAACGCCTGCACTCCTCAAGAGCACACGAGTATGAAGCGGCCCCTTCTTGTGGTGTAACTGCAACGCCAAGGGACGGGTGTCATAGTGCGCCAGGTGTGATCAGCGAGTAGACGCTCTAATCTGCAGCGCAGCTCGTCCGTCCTCCCACAAGGTTTCAGTCGTGGTGATCGTCGGTCACAGAGCTGCTCAGGAGTCTTGTTGGTGGGTGTTCATCGCGGTCGAAAAGTGCCCTGTGGTATTTGAGGGCCCATGTCTTCGTTTGAGCTTGGGGCGGGCTCCTCGCCCTCGCCGAGCACAAAGCTGTACGTGGGCTTCTCAGTAGAGGTGGAGCAGGCCCAGGCCGGTCGGGAGCGGGTCACGACGCTGTCAAGCCCGAGCCGGTGAGCGAGACGGTTGCAGTGCCCCGAGTTTGCCACCGCGCGCGCCCGTCTCGGTCTGCGCACGCCGCGGTCGCAACACTGACGCGCCTCTGCGGCCGAGCGCCGACCCCTGCACGCGCGGGCGCAGCGCGGCGCCCGCTTGCGGTTGGGGGTTCTGCGCTGCGCGCTGTCGCCGCGACTCACGTGGGGCTGTTGCTGTCGGTCCGACCGCCCTCTCCCCCCCACAGCCCCCGCATCCCAGAACCCCCTGCCGCGCCGTCTCCCCTCACCCCCTTCTTCCAGCGGCCTGTCTGCCCTGTCGGCCGCCTTCACATGCAAGAGTCCCCCAAGCCCCTCCCCGGCTATGGGCGGCGCCGGCAGCGCTGTCAGCGCTGGCGGCATGAGCGGCTGCTGCAGCCAGGTGGAAGATCTAGATGAGGAGGGCCCCTACTCAGATGATGATGATGATGACGAGGACGATGACGACCCCCGCTACAGCTTGCGCCGCATCCCGGCCCCAAGGTGACCTCCACACACACACACACGCACGCACGCAAGCACATGAGCGCGCACGCACGCGGCGCGTGCGGATGGCGCTCGCCGCGTCACGCCTCTGATGCGTGCCCGGCCGCCCGTGGCGCGAGAGGCCGCCCCAGCAATCAGCCCGAACCCGCGACCCTGGGTCCCTCCGCCACCCCACCCTGCCCAGACCCTGTCCTGCTGCGCCCCCGAACTCCCAGGGACCCCGACCACTACAAGTGCATGGTCTATGCCAGGGCCATCATCAACGCCAAGCTCTGGGCGGCGCAGGCCTGAGACCCCGGGACGTCACCGGCCGGCGCCCCCCTCCCCTCCATCAGCGAAAATTGGGCCCCCTCCCCCTTCAGTTGTGCCCCGATACCGCTGCTGTCCCGCCCGTCTATCCGCCGCTCGCGGCGCCGCGGGCGGCCGCGCGGCGCCTTTGCAAACCCTGCCTCGCTCTCGATGCCGCGGCGCCGGCCGTCACCCCAAACGTCTCATTAGCAATCTCAATTCCGTCCCTCTTGCAAAACTTGATCGAGCCCCTCGCGGCGATTGCGGCCTGATTGCACAGACGCTGGGGTGACACAGAGGGCCCCTGCGCGCCCCTGGGAGCCCCTGGCCGTGTTTGGGGGCTCGGGCCCTCTCCTCTGCCCCCACCCCCGTTCACCCCTTGCAGCGGCGCCGTTTGGACGGAGGCGAGTCCTGTGCACCCGCCTCGCCCCTCCCGCGCGCCGGGCGGCGGAACCCCCCCTCGAACGCAACATTTGAGCCTGCGAGAACACCCAGCGCCCGCCGGACGCGTCCTTGTCTGTTGGGCGCTTTTGGGGCGCACCGGCAGGCGCGGCGCGGCGGGCCTGTGTCAGGCCCGCGCCCCGCGGCGGCGCGCCCCGTGGCCCGCCTCTCGTTTCCAATTTCTGAGTCTCCTCCGGGCGCAGCGACACAACACCAATCATTGTACCGGGCCCGTGGCGACCTTCGATTCGACTCAACTAGACAATCTTCTTCGGCGGACGCTGAGGCGGCGCCGCCCTCCGCGCGCGCGCACGCTGGCTCGGGGCGTCCCTGCGCCTCGGGGCCCGCGGTCGCGCGCGGCCGGGGCGGCGCCGCTTGCCCGCCCGCCTGCCGCCCTGCGCGGGCGCGCTGCGCGGGGCGCCCGACGTCGGGCCCCTGCCGCCGTGCGCCCGCGCCGTTTTTTTTCGCCCCCGCTTGCCAGTGGGGGCACCTGCACATGCCCGCCCGCCCGTTTGGCTTCCCGCAGGCGCCGCCCGCGGGCGCCCGGGCGTCTGCATTCCAATCAATCCGCCGCCGGCCGGAGGGCGCGCGTCGCCCGAGGCACACCCTGCTTCAAGCATGCGTGCGCCTGCCCCGCCGCGCTGAGCGCCTCCTGCGATGACACCTCTGCTGTACTCTTCCCGACGCGCAACCAACCCCATTCTTTCTTGTGTACCCTCTGCGGCCCCGCGGCGCCCGTCTGCCGCCCCGCGCCGCTGACGGCGCCGCGGGGGCTTCAACATACCCCCGTACGCCGGCGCTGCGGCCCCCGCGTGCGAAGGTTCTGGTAGCTTGCTCTGTTGCCGACGCGCTTCCCAGATCGCTTGGCCACGAGGCATGATTTCAGCACAATTACAGCACAATTTCGGTTCTTCTTATGCGGCTTATGGGAGGGGTGTGGGGACCATGGGCGAGGTGGGGGTGTCCGTGTGTCCCGCAAAGGCGTCGCGCCGCCGTGCGCCCCGCGCCGCTGACCTCTCGCGGTGCCTGGGCGCGCC